AATAATAATAAATAATAATAACAATAATAATGATAATAATAATAATAATAATAATAATAATAATTATTATTATTATCATCCATAGACATCATGTATATTACATAAAACATGACCAGACTCTCTGCTACACCTAAAAGCTGATGTATTACACCAGCAGACACTAGAAGACCACGCAGGAGCACTATCTGCTTCCAGGAAAGGTCGAGTACACAGTGCAAACTGCAGATTACACACAGTTAAACCTGACAAAATGTTTCCCTTTCTGTGATTTTGTACGTATTCCCACGAGGGTGAAGTGTGGAAAACTCGTGTAAAAGACCTGTCCGAAGGACACAAAGTCAGACTCCTTGCGGGATTCCAACTCACGCTTTACAGTTCTGACTCTAAAAGTCCAGCAACCACTAGATCACCAACGAATCACACCTAAAAAATGTTCTAAAACATAATGTATTTAAACTCGGTAGCACAGCTACCTCAGAACTCACTCTAAAGAGTCCTCTGAAAATGATATAATTTCTTTTTTTCTTCCAGTGGACAAAAATGATTCAGAATAAACAAAGTTACATACAGGTCAACTCCATCGGAATCGATATTTTGGTCCAAAATCGACTGTTTTCAACCCTGCGATACCCCTTAAATCTTTTTTTTTTGGCCAAAAAGATTCCAATTCCAGTGCGCATAATGCAAGACATTCTCGTTCTAGTATGCATACCCCTGCAAAGAGATAATAATATTTGGGTTGAGAAGAAGAAAATAAATGAGCTCGAAGTTTGATATTCAGATTAAAGACGATATCTTTTCCAGACATATCTATTGACGAACGAAAAATAGGACCATTCTTCAAACATTCTCTTCAACGATAAGTAAACTTCGCAGAAACCCAGTTCCTTTTTTAAACCGTAGCCTCCCTGACAGCACACATAAAAGAGGTTCTTTTTTACCCATCGCCTTGCGTTCAGCATCAATGACACTTGCCTCCAGTCGTTAAGTGATGTATTGACCCACTTTTTTTTCTTTTCAGGCCGGCACATTCACTTTTCCCTTCTTTTCTCCTCGAAAGGCTTTAAGAAAAAATAGATCTATAGCGACTTTCCCAAGTCGAATTTTTCCAGTATTTCGTTGAATTCTTGAGGAGGGTACCTTTTTTCTCTTTTTCAGAAGAGCTCTTGGAACCGTACAGACACAACGCAAACAAGGACTTAAAAACGACCAAAAAATTAAAAAAAAAAAAAAACCCAAAGACCCAACCCGGCAGAAAACGAGATGTTGTCTGCTCGACAGTAATCATTTTATGTCCTTCCGTTGAACTGTGTGACGCAAGCAACATCTTTTGGCGGCTAATGATCCAATTAGCGACACACGTGAGCAGCATTGGAGGGCATAACATTAAGCATGTTCCTCTAATCAAAAACTCGTCAGTCATTCATAAGAAAATAATGAGATGTTTGTGTGCATGGTGTCCTCGTATGCCTACCTGGAGTTATCTATCTATCTATCTATCTATCTATCTATCTATCTATCTATCTATCTATCTATCTATCTATCTATCTATCTATCTAAAAGTGCTTAGTCTACTAATGTCAGTGTGAGTATGTATTTGTATGTGTGTGTATATATTATGTACGTGAACAAGTGTATGTGTACGCATGTATGTATGTTAGCGTGTGTGTGCGTGTGTTTGCGTGTATGCGCATGTACGTGTGCGTGCGTTTGTGTGTGTGTGTGTATGTGTGTGTGTATGTGTGTGTGTGTGTGCGTGGGTGTGTATGTGTGTGTTTGTGTGTGTGTGTGTTTTTTTTTTTACATTGTATCTTTTGCTGTTAGGTCATGCTTATCCTTCATTGTTTCGATAGCGGTTTGAAATATTTACAATCAATCTGTCCGCCTCTGGTGTTAGGGAGACAAGATTCACTCAACAACGAGCAGGGTTAATTTTCATGAAAGAAAATAACTTTTTTGCAGAAATTCAAACACAAGAGAAGCATGCATCACCAAAAGAGCGTTTAAAAAAAGCACACCGACACAGTTACGGTCATAAAGTGCAGTGAAGGAGCAAGATGTTAGACAGAAACAGCAAAGGGAAAGAAAAGAAGTAAGCCCTACCAGTGACGCCCTCCAACCACCCGCATCCAAATCTGCATATAGTTTGAGCTTTGTCTTATGTTTCATAGACAGACTAAGGTCAAATTGATAAGACAGGGGACTGACCACAACACTGAAGATACCAACATGCATTACAGGCCATTTTTTTATGTTCGTGTTTTTACGCACCAACCAACACAATTTAGACAAAATAGAAGTTTGGCTTCCGATCCGGCCGTCAGGGTTGACCTCGGCTGAGAGGGATTCCGTTACAACTTCCCAGAAGAAAGACCCAGATACTCGATAAATATTTTCTCCTCACTCGAGACTCACACTCGGGTGTCCTGCGTGCGGAGGCAAAGTGGCTTACATATACCACTACACCATTAACGCCGGTTGGATTTCAATGAAAAGTACACTAAAAGGATAACAACACCAACAACAACAACAAAAACAACAAAAACAACAACAGCATGATATTCAGTTGTTTGTCACCACCGTGCTGTGCGCTGTTTCTCTGCTTAGTTCAAAATTATTGTGTCTTGTTCAAGGACAGACAGATTGCTTTATTTAACTAAGTTGATATCATGCAATACTACGGATTGGATGACAGTCGTTCGAGTCCCAGATTGAAATTTTTTAAACTTGGGTTGTATTGTGAGGTTTTTCAAGGCTCTTAACCCATTTGTCTCAGTTCTAAGGGAGATGGACAAATTGGGAGATGCCGCCTGTTAAACAACCAATAAATAGTGTTGATAGAGTGTTAGCCCATACACTTTTACTCTAAGGACAGAAAACCAGCCCGCACCCAGTGGAAATACTGTGCTCCTAATACGGCTTGACATCGTATGGGAGCCTATGCTCAATAAACCCTCAACCACTGGGATATCCGTTTGGAAAGAAAGTGGGATAAATGAGGGTAATTTTAAATCATTGCTGATTTTATAGTATGCCCGGCTTTTGACCACTGAAATCTCCGTAAACGTACACAAATGGTGAACTTTTATGGAACTGCCTCGTTCGTTCAGACTTCTATATCTAGTGGATAGTTTTTTTATTGTTTTTTTTTACCTTGTCGACATAATTTGGATCATATAGCAGGCAATCTGTTTCGAATCTGCCGGTCAGGGTCAAAGCGGGCCGAGAGGGATATAACATCCTAGCACGAACACCGAGATACCGTACTCGATAAATTTTAATATTTTCTCCTCATTCGGGAATCGAACTCGGGTTTTCTGCATGCTACAGCGAAGCGCCTGATCGCTACACGGCAGTCGCCGATATTCCTGTTGTTAGAAAAAAAGGTTTAGACAAAGGACAAAATGTATCCAGCCATGCCGTCTTTACACCGTGAGACATGATTGTTGGTTTGTGTCAATCAATCTTTCCTGTCTGGTGCGTAATTTGAAAATATTAGTAAATACGACACGACAGAAACATCAGGAAAGGAAATAAGCGCTTTATAGTTGTACTAGAGGAGGTAGGGTTGATAGTCCTCTTAGACTTGGATTTGAAGTGTATGACATTTAAAATATAATTCATATTATAATTTGGAGAGAACAAAGGTCAGAATATTTACCATCGATTTCCAAATAATATGGGTTGAAATTTGTTTTCTAAAAAGATCCTTGGTTCAGAGCCACGAATATTAGGATAATAATCGCTACTAAGCTACAATGAGCCCTTGAAAAAAGAACAAAGCCTCCAGTATATCTGTGAGGGGTATTGAGGACAGTGATGTATTTTTGATGTAGTAGTAAAAATAAAAATGTGTGTTCTGTTTGCTCGTATACAAGTTGTTGTATTCTTTTATAATTAAGACAGCTTTATAAACAAAGTAAAAAACCATCAACAATCTGAAAATGAAAAGGAATGGAAACAAGAAAGAGCGTTTCTGTTTGTCTGTCTGTCTGTCTGTCTGTCTGTCTGTCGGTCTGTCTCTCTAGTCTCTCTCTCTCTCTCTCTCTCTCTCTCTCTCTCTCTCTCTCTCTCTCTCTCTGTAAGTATGTATGTGTGTATGTTTGTGTGCGTGTGTGTGTGTGCGTGTGTGTGTGTGTGTGTGTGTGTGTGTGTGTGTGCGCTTGTGTGTGGGGGGAGGAGGGGTGTGTGCTCATGTATGTGTTAATTTACGTATATTTATGCCCCCATTGACACACTTTTAAGAGGGCCAAGCGTAGTTGAGAGGAGTACCAGCATCACAGCATAGAGAGCGTGATGCTTGATAGAAAATTGCCCCACTTGCAAATCGAACTCAGGTTTTCTGCATATGCAGCGAAACTCCTAACTGCTACACCACTGACGCTAGAGTTGAAATCTGTGAAATAAAAACCTTTCTCTATTATAGGAGCATGTTTTTTGTCTACTTTGAAACCCGCTTGATAGAAAATTGCCCCACTTGCAAATCGATCTCAGGTTTTCTGCATATGCAGCGAAACTCCTAACTGCTACACCACTGACGCTAGAGTTGAAATCTGTGAAATAAAAACCTTTCTCTATTATAGGAGCATATGTTTTGTCTATTTTGAAACCCGTTTGTTGGTATACACGGTACGAGGTCAAGAGATATGATCATCACATTACATTAATCGTGGGCAATATAGCAACTGGCGCTACAACCCACAATTCGTAGTCTCTCTTCTTTTTCGATTATTTTTATTTGTTTATTTGTGTGTTCATTTTGATTTAAAGCCATCCCAGCTACGAACAAGTCATTTCGAAAGGACCAGGTAATCTGATTGTAACGTTTCTGGGCTTAATTTGTTGATGGAGCGGACCCTCGGTCGCGAATTGATATAATATGGACTTTGGCAGAGAAACAATGATTGAGGTGAAAAGATGCCAATATGGTATCATTATTTTCCTGCACACCCTCTAAGGAAATTATTTGTCTTGCCTCCCACGCATAACAAAATATTTCTGACATTTGCTAGTCTCTAACGATCAGGGTGACTTCTCGTTCATATTTCTCTTTTCTGGGCTTGACCTTTCGTCTTATTTGCCATATTTGTTGGAGAGGTTAACTGAAAGTTCCCGTCTGGCTCAAGGAAAACTTAAGCCAGTGGCGATGTCCGCCTTTAGATATAAGAGAATGTCAAGCGAGCAAATAACCCTCCCACAGCAGCGAGTCCTGATGTCAAGGGTTTTGGTTTTGTTCCAGATTTTGTTTAGTTTGAGCTTAATACTCTTTCAGACACGAAAAAGTTCTTTCAAATTTAAAATAAAAGTGATCATATGATCAGAATAAGATTGATGAATAAAGAAAGAAAAAACAACAACCAAATGCATATCCTCCGGTTTTGAAACTGAGAAGGATGGGAAAGGGTTGGAAAAGAGAGAGAGAGAGAGAGAGAGAGAGAGAGAGAGAGAGAGAGAGAGAGAGAGAGAGAGAGAGAGAGAGAGAGAGAGAGAGAGAGAGAGAGTAATATAGAGTGAGAGAGGAAGCAGAACAGAGATAATCAAGAGAGAGAGAGAGAGAGAGAGAGAGAGAGAGAGAGAGAGAGAGAGAGAGAGGAGGGGGGGGGGGGGCGAAGTCAGGTTCCCTGGAAACTCTAAAATAAATCGAGCTGCTGATAAACTGAAACAAATTAGTGTAAATTGTGGAGAGTTACAGAGTGCGAGAGTTAAAAAATGAGACACCGAGGAATGATTGGATATCACCCACAAGCCGAGGAACGTGTGCAACGAAATTATTAACATGTACGTACCAAATAAATACATAAATCATCATCATCATCATCAATACCTTTCACCCCTAGCAGGGTATAGGCCACATACAAGCTCCCTCCATGTATCTCTCTCCTGGGCCATCCTTCCAAGCTCGTTCCAAGTGAGCTTCATCTCTCTCATGTCTTTTCCACGCATCTCCTCCATGTTTCCCGTGGCCTAACCCTGCCTCGCGCTCCTTGTCTGTGACTGTTATGTGATGTTTCCGCTGGGCTTTCTTAAGGTGTGTCCCGTCAATCGCCTCTTTCTTAGTCCTATTTCTACTTCTATATCCCTTTGTCCTGTCCTTTCCCACAGCTCTTCATTTCTTATTCTATCCTGCCACTTAATTCTTGGAATACTCCTCATACATCTGTTGAGGAAAGTCTGGGCTTTATTCAGTAGTGTCTTTGGTGTCTTCCAATTTTCGCAGTCATAGAGGA